TCCGAGCAATGCCCAGCACTTTCTTTCATTCTTCTTTGCTTTCTGGTTTCTTTTGATCTTCTCTCCTGGCAACTGCCTGTCCAAACAACAGTGAGTGGGGGCAGGGGAGTGCTAGGCATTGGGATTGGAATTTTCCTGGTCACTTGGGGTCACACTATTCTTCCAAGTCCACTTGTACCTTGAACATTAGAGAAGCTGGAGTACCCCCAAGCCTGGTCTCTGACTGGTCCCCTGGGGAGTTTAGAAGGAACTGCTCCTAGGGAGGCTTCCTTCAGGCATTCTGGCCAGTCTTTATGGGGTCCTGATGGTGAGTTTGGAGTTTGGGGCCTCTTTCTGTGCTGCAGGTTGCAGGCAGGGCTGTTTGGTCACATCAGGACACCTGGCCGGAGCCCGAGAGTTGCTCCTTTGGCCCATGCCTTGCCTTTTGGAGACTGCCTTGGCAACTTTAAAGGAGACACCCTCTGGCCTTTGGACTGCTGTCTTTACACATAGGAGAGGGTTCTGCCCAGAGTGACTTAAATTTGCCTGGCAGGTGCCAGTGCCAGTCACTCCCTTTACTTTTTTTGGCCCAGGAGGTGAGTAGAAAGCAATTTCAGGGTTTGGGTGGAAGATAGCAGGGCAGAGTGTTCTCATGTTGATGTTATTGACAGATGGCTGCCTTGAAAACACATGGTCCAGGACAGATGTCTTCCTGATTACTCAAAGGCACATTGCCCTGCTTAGGGCAGAGTCCAGCACAAAGTTCTCACTAATACTACATCAAGTACAAGTTAAAATTAGCCAATTAACTCATGGAGCAAATAAAAGAAGCATAAATATAAAACAAATACAATGAGTTTCAATATGAAGAAGTGTTCAACCTCGGTGGTGATTTGAAAAAAAAGACTTACAATAATGCAATACATGCCATATTAGCAAAAGCACTGTATATGCTGTCAATTAATTTGTATCGACTCTGTCCTATATTTTATGGAGTGTCTCTGGCTAATTCAATTCTGAGGGCACTCTTACTGTGGTTGTAACCTATGGAGGCCTCCTGTTGGCTTGTCTCTTCAGGTTTTCACATGCTCTATGTTGTTGGAGCACATAGTGCAATGGACTCTGTTGCTTCTGTTGTCTCAGGGTCCTCTAATATAAAGGGAATTTCAGAAATGGAAGCTCAATCTCCAGTCCCAATTAGAGAGGAGAATACTTGTCATTTAATAATCACCCATATAGTAACATATATTGAAAATTCACTATGGTTCTCTACATTCTCTATATCTCCTGGGAAAGGATGATCTGTCTCYAATACTGATTCCTTCTCAGTACCTAATTATCTTTCCAGCTCATGCTGAGAAATTGCTGAACACAGCCTGCTGCTTCTTCTCCTTCCACAAGGGGCCACCACAGATCTCCAGTGCAGCCAGAATCTATCCCTTCCATTAATTCTGTTTGTATTCTCAAAACTGACTTTTCTGCTGATCCTTGAAGATGCCCTCAAGGTCTTCCCCTGGTCTTCCTACCTCATCTCATCCCTGCAGAACTGGGCTTTCCATTCAGCCTTGGGCAGCAGGGGCTGTGCACTAGGTACATCTAGTTGGCCACTTTCAGCACACCCTATCAATAAATTTTGATATTGTCTTGAAAATACAACTTAGCCCATGTCATACTATTGCCCTCTCCATCATAGTAATAATTTTTTTGTTACACCATTTTTGTTAAGGTCTGTAAACAAGTCAAAATAACACCTGGTATTTTGCCAGGGGAATGTTAGAGTTCATAAACAAGTCTGGATGGTGCCTGGCAAAATGCCAGAGGGAGTGGTTTGAGAAGTAACAAAAGCTAGCCATTAAGTGTGGAGATTCCTTATTGGTTGACTGATGTATCTAGTTTATGCTAATTAAGATAAGCTGTGCAAAATGTATAAATACCTCTG